AAAATACAATTGACTGTCAGAATTCTGCCACATTCCTTGGTGTTTTGGATAATGTTTTCAGTGACCCAAAGTGCCACATTTCTGAGTATTTACATTTTAGGAATAATTATGTCTGCAAATACCAAATTACTACAAGTAGTATAAAACTAGCCACAAATCATCTAGAATGTATAAATCATAATTTCAACCTGTAATACTAAATATTCTGAAAAAATAATATATGTCTTACAGTCAAGTGCACGCATACAATTCTGCACAGCATATTTGCTGTATTATGGGCCAACATATTTAATTACAGGCTAATTAATAATCAAACGGAATTATCGCTCAAATGTTTCACTGAATATTTATAGATTAGTTTAAGGCTGAATGCAGATTGGGAGCTGGAAGATGACTCTAGGCACACTAGGTAACATACAAGAAGGTCAGGCATTCTGGAGGAAGTGAGGAAGACAAAGGGAAGATAGAGAAATCACCCTCAGATCATGAGGAGTAGAGGAATGTAGGCAGAGATAAGGACTAGGCATTTAAGCGGATCCTCTTCTCAAAAATCTCAAAGAATTTAAAAACCTGAGGAGAGCAATCTTTTTTTTTTTCAATCTATAAAGTGAATGGAAACTTACAGTAACTGGAAACAGAGAAATACTGAGCTACAGAAAGGATGTTTTAAACAATATTACCTTATGGGTGTATATCAAAAGAGCAACTACATAGGGAAACAAAGAAAAAAAAAGAAGTGCTTGCTCAAACTTCAGAATAAAGTTGAAATTCACAGGGAGGGTGGAAGAAACAATCTATTCCACATTTTGAGCTCTATTTGAGGGATATCTTGAAGGATTACATAGTTTTACTGAGTCTCATAACAAGCCTACATACTTGATGAAGCTAAAGGATACTACCCAGTGATTTGCATGGATGAGTGGAATCAAACCTGATGCAATGTCTGTCATATGGTTTGGCCTTGCATGTTTACGTTTTCAAACATCGCGTGGGGGCACTCTGAATCATTACAGGGGTCAAGAAGGGCTTTCATCTTCCCCATTTACTATTCACAATGGGAGCTTTACTCTCCTTGCAAATAGCAAACACAGAGGGGCATGAGTTGGGGATTCTTCTTCATCAATTCCAATTCTGGTTATGGAAGGGCAAAATGTTAAAATCATTTTCTCTCATGCTACTGTGCATCTCATTCACCCCTTACACTTTTTTTTTTTAAGGCACACAATGCCAAAACGCATGACAAGTATTAGTTTAGTTTGGCTGTTCATCTGACAATCTATTCAATATATCACACAGGCAAATTTGTTCTACAATATTCATATTCAGTTGGGAGATGATCCCAAACAATATATAAACAGGCCCAACAAAGAAAAGAATCTTTCTGATTCTTAGAATCAGAATTACTCTGAAATATGGAATCATCACCTATGTGTAATTCAAAATTTAAGCTTAACTCCATAACTTTCAGAAAATGATGACAGCTCTCTTACATATTTTTTCTATTGTACACTCAAGTGCCCTTGCTAATCCATAAGAAACACATTGAACAATTTTACCATAGCCAAAAGGGGACAGAAGACTCACATCTCCAACAGAATGAAACAGTATGGTAGGGTTTTGTAGTAAGATTTAGTAAGTACTGTTATAATTCTAAACAAGTGTACTCAGAATCCCCATCAAGTCCAATATCAGAGTGTAGATGCCATTTACCTGGGAGAATAAGTTCCATTGAAGTCACAGGGTCTTACTTTTGGGTAGTCATACAGAGGCTGGAGATTGCACTGCAAATTGCTTGCATGGATTTAGCATTTATTGTGACTTATGTGATGCTTTGTTGGGTTCAGGCTGCCTTTTTCTTTTCTCACAACCAAGTCATGTGCTTTTAGTTGTTACCCCTCAGCAAGTCAGCTTATTGCAATCATTATTAACAGAAATGAGTACAACAGGGGACTAGAAAGCAAGATACTGTTTCCATCTCTGAGAGGTAAAATAGAAAGTCAAAGGAAAAAGAATATCCAGGAGGGAACAATTTCAAATACTGTTTACCTACCGCAAGAACAATATTGTCCACAAAAAGAATATGTGTTTGCTTTCCAGTGTTATCTCAGTGCAACTCTCATAATTTTATTTCATCTATTATAATTTTCCATTTTAGCTGCAATTATTTTAAGTGTGTCGCTATCCTGTATAGAAGCATAAGCCCTACTAAGCCAGGAGAACCTGAAATACCCGGAGGAGGGCCTTCTCTGCAGTGACACCCCACCTATGGAATGCGCTCCCCAGAGAGGTCCGCCTGGCGCCGTCGTTATTTGTTTTTCAGCACCAGGCCAAGACCTTTTTATTTAAATGATACTTTAATTGTTAATTGTTGTTTTTATTTATTGGTTTTAAACTATTGCTGAGATGCTCCGAATTTTTAATGTGTTGTCTATCTTCTTTGTAAGCCACCCGGAGGCTTTCTGTGATGGGTGCGGCATAAAAATGCTATAATAAATAAATAAATACTCCATTAACATGGCAGATACATTGGTAGAACTCCTCCAACACTCCTCCCATGGAGCTATGAGAATGCTGTATTGCATTGGCTCTCCTCCTTCCTCTGTTGTGCTTATGTGCTCCAAGGCAGTGGTTGCAAGCAGCAGAACAGTATTTGAACCGCTGTCTGTAGGGACACCTAGAGACAAGGTAGTCCTAAAATTATTTCAAACTGTACCCCTGGGACAGAAGGTGCTAGACCGGAATTCTATGTGTGGTTATGTAAAGATATATGAGTGGGGAGGGGGATATTCTCATCCTTATGAATTCATTAACAATCTCAGCCTATGAGCAGTATGTGGGCAGTATCCTCCTTACAGTGCCTGTTCGGTGAGCACTTGCAGAGTTTCCAGGGATGCTGTGGCCCTGCTTGCTAACTTTAAGCCATTTTTGTATTTTAACTTGCCCTATCTAATTAGTTTTAAATCAAGCATAGAAAAAGCTACCACAATACAAAGTCATGTCTGGCATATAAATATTATAAATAAATAATACATAACCTGACCAAAACATTTACTCAAGTTAGTGGTTTTGAAACTAATTGTTCCTAGGAACCATGGGACTTATCTGTAATTTTCATAGGTGTTTTGCTGAGAAGATAGTTCTGCTCAATGCAAAACTTGTCCTTCTGTAGGCAAACCTCTTTTCACAAGAAAGTTGGATATTAACAAATAAGGAGGCTTGTAGATATGAAGGGAAGAGGAAAGATGCAGCTTTTTTTTCCAAACCTCCATGAAATGATCAGAGGATGAAGCAAAACAGCAGTGCCTCCACCACTGGTCTGGAGTCAACCACTATTGGCCGTGCCTTTTCCTGTTGGAAGAAGCAGCAACTATGCAGGTTCTAGACCACATTAGTTTTGTAAACTGCCCTGAAGGCTTTTAAAGTCAAAGACAGAGCAAATCTCTCTCTCTAAATATATGTTAAATCAGGGGTTAGTAAGATGAACCCTCAGGCACCTTTCTTGGTGCCTGCCAAGATGATAAATACCACCTCCCACTACTTCTTTTAATTAATACATTCTCTCACTGGCAGCCAGACTTACTGAGAAATAGATGTCTGTTGGTGCTGGAAAATGAATTCAAAGGAAGTTTTCTTTTGTTTTTGCTTGGTAAGTTGGAGCTTACGTAACTTCCACTTCTGCCTTGTACTCAATTTTTGAGGCAGGCAATTTGTCCTTTGTCACATCTCCCTTAAGCAGCCATTTTGTGTTTGTACCCAGGACAAGTTTCACAAATTGCCAGATGTTTCCATGGCCAGAAAAGGTTACCTATCCATGCCCTAAAGCATGCCCCCAGAATCTTCTGAAAAAATTCTGCAGCAGACATCAAGAAATGAAAAAAAAAAAAAAATGAGAGAAGAATCACCAGAGAGCAGGAAGCTTGAAATTGACTGGCTAAATAAGTAAATATCCCACCACTTTGGTAATATGCCATTTAAGTTAGCAAGCTAGGAAAATGTTCAGTATAATACTAGATTGCAACTTGTGGCAGGCAGGCAAAGGCACCATCAGATGGCTGTTCCTTATTCAGCTGGACTGTTCTGTTGCTGTTGTTCAACTTGGCTTTAAAGTATACTTTCAATAATGGATCTGTTACCGTTTATGAACATTGTGCTCTACCAGGGAATGGAGCCCATGCTACAATAGAACAATGGCATGTAGCAACACGTATCTTATGTTTGACTATCTGAAACATACTGCATGCAAAGCTTTGCACTCTGATGGAGGTAAAATAGACAATTTAAATGAATTAGATACATTTGTCCTATGGGGGAAATTGTCACTTTATTTACACAGCACAACTGGGGATTAGTTCACACCAGTTCTGTTGATACAATACCTATTTAAGTGTGCTACCATTGGAAAGAAAAAGTCCTTCAACAACATCTTTTTATTGGACCGCTTGTAAGAATGTGAGTTCAGAAATTTGTCAACCTCAACTGTGCATATGCTCTTGCAAATGAAAATTTGCTTATAATGCAGAACAGAGAAAATTTCACTGAACAGCAGAAAAGTGACTGCAATTACAAATCAAAAGGATTGTACTTATTTTTGAGTTAAGAGGATGATCCTTTATGTATGTGCATATACAGGCCACTCCCACGCTCATTTACTGAGAAGTGTGTTGCACTGAGTTCATCTATACCCAGATCAGTGTGCATCCTAAGCATTCTTAGAAATAGATCTCATTATACAGTGTTCAAATTATCATATTTGAGAAATGACCAAATCAATTCTTCATTTACACAGAAAACCCGTTAATTCGTGGAAGAGGCAGAGATTCACTTTACTGTAGTTTTACTTTACTTAGGGCTAGCATGCTAGTATTTCCATTAATATGAATCTACACATAAATATCTTTAAAATTTTAAATGTTTAAAATCAGGTTTAACCATAATTTTTCTTAAAATCATTTAGTTTGAACCACCCTGAGATTAGACAGGATGCTATTTACAATACTAACCTCACCAGATCAGTCATACAGGATCCCACCACCACGACCTCAGCCACTGCCATGTCGAGAACAGATTTAGCAGAGCAAGAGGCCACTTTCTCTAAACTTTAACCTGCTTGCGCTCTACCTCTAACTACTCTTTGCTCCCTTCCCAGAACCCGCTTTGCTTGCGGGGTCCTCCACCGATCTGACGGGCTCGCCACGTGAGGTGCCTGAGTGTTACTTTGCACGGTTCCCACACCGGAGCACGCCCACCTTTTCCACAAGGGAACGACCGAGCGCGGCTGTTATCATTAGCCCGTTTCGTTATAACCTTGCTGCGAAGCGCGGCACTACGCCTTGTTAAAAAATGTTATTATTCAGGCGTATGTTAGACACCTTGATCTCTACGGAAGCCCCGATTCTTACTCCTACTCTTGGCTTTCGAGGTGATCCTGGGAGCGCGCTTGCCAGTCTTGAGGATGCTCGGGGGCGCGCACGCTGCGTAAAGCCCGGAGGGGGCGGGTCGGCGCAGGCGCTCAGGGCGCGTGAGTAAGGCGGGTAGTCGGCGCTGCATTTTTTTTGTGGGTTTGTTGGTACTTCCTCGCCGTGTGTTCTGCAGGTAGTCGCAGTAGCAATGGCTAAGGGAGGGCTGCGAGCACAGTGCCCCTCCAGACGGGGCCGGCGACGGCCTAGGGATATCTCATGACGGGGGTGGGGGTAGTATAAGGGCTGGCTTGGTGGGGGTGCGTAGATAATATAGGCTATACGTCAAGCCTGGGTTCTTCTCCCCACCCCCCTTGGCTTAAGCTACTTCTGTTCGTGATTAGATTTGCTCTGCCTTTTTCAGGTGTATAATAATGGATTGTGTCCCGTGTTAGCCTTCTTCTGAGTAGCCTTATTGAAATCAATTGGACTGAGTTAGATTAAGATTGGATGCAACCCATTGGCTACATGGGGGGCTGTTTAAATCTACTTGGCTGTAGCCTTTCACCTGCAATATGAATATAATACTCCATGTAGTTTCGCATGCATGTAGACTGTGTAGATGTTTTAAGTGGCATCCAAGTACTGTTAATCAGTGATACATTATTGCTTGATTTGGTGTCACTTATGTTGAGTGAAATGCAGCTATGTCTGTCCACTAATAGGCCAATGGGACAGATACTGTCGATGGAATACATCTTCCATGCTGTCAGAATCTGTTCTGGGTGGTGAGACACCCTCTAGAGCAGGTTTGGAGATCGTGTGCAGAGTTTAGAGGGGGAATAGAAAATATAAGAACCACTGCATGAGCAGGCATTCTATTTATTGTGAGACAGTGGATGGAAGTGCCTTCTCATTGCTGTGGAAAGTTGTTCATGCTGGATTTTAGTCTGTCATATAGCTGTGAAAAGCACAGGAGTTTCCCCCCTTCTTCCAGAAAAAGAGTAGATACTGTAAACTACTACCACCATTTATATTATAATGGGATTCACGAGAACTACCACCAGTCAGAGTTAACAGTGCTGACCAGTGATCAGACTTGAGATAAGCCAACTTCATAAGAAGAGTATCCTACTGATAAAAAGTGCCTAGTGGCAGTTGGATTTCTTGAGAATGGGATAGGCAGCCTCTGGCCACCCAAATGCTTTGGTTTATAAATCCCTTCATCCCTAACCTGCATAGCTGATTATGAGGAATCATGGAAATTGTAGCCCTCTAGATTTTTTGGCCTACAAGTTGCATATCCCTACTTTAATGGTTGTGACTTGTGGTGTTCCCTTTCTAGAGGGTAGGGTGTTAGGTGCTCTTGAGTACATGGCTGTCACTAACCACCAATTGAATATCTTAGTCTTGCGTGTGTTCGAGAATTTGAATTTTGATTCTGCAGCCATATAACTTGCCTTGTTAAGGTTTGCCTTTTGATATGTGTCTGATGCTGCACATCCTCATGAGTTTAAATTCTACCTTTCTATTGTTGGGGATATTGTAAACTTTTTTCCTGTCTTTTGTTGACTTTTGATTGACAATACAACATTGATGATGCTTTGGGGAGGCAGGATTTTTCAAAGTATTTGTAGGAATATCCTTGAGTAGTACTTAGCTCACTGACTGTGTGATGGCTCACTGGGTACTAGAGACAGCCCATATTTAGTTGCTTCCAGTTAATTTTCAGTCTGCTTTTGTTTAATGCATATGCAAGACCACTGGGGAAGATTGTTTGAAGGTTCTGATGACACTAGATCTAACTTTCTCATCCAACCCAGGCTATGCACCCTTGCTAAGCTCTGTCTCATTTCAAGTCTGCTTTACAAAAGTTTTATGTTGTGTTTACCACAAAGTATTGTTTATAAGTGTTATATTTTGGGGCTGCATTTATAAATGACTTGAAATCAACACTTTCAGAATGTATTGAAGAAAACTAAACTAATTGTGACATTAATTAAAAGGGCACTGTCCAAATTCTGGTGCTGAAGTAAATACCTAGTTTGAACATCGCCCAGTAGTTGTGTATGGTTTTCTCACAAGGACTTGACTCTCAACCCATTCCTGGCAGTCCAGGCAAGCAGCAGAATCAGGAGATATATCAAACTAGTGATGGGCAGTGCTAATTTTGGTGCATTCTATGTCAGAACAGATGAGTGGATAAAATAATGCATAAAATAATTACATGTTTTATACTGATAAGTGATATACTTACTAAATGGTAGGAATGCATATAGCAATGTGACCATAAATGTAGAATAAGTATATGGATGGATGCTCATCCAAATCTCCTTTTTATTCTCTGCTAGCTTTGTTCCCATTTCCTTGGCCCCACTTCATGCAGCCTTTCTTTTAAGCTTTCGGCTTCCTTCATCTTTTCCTTGGGCATCTTTTCTTTGTCTCTGCCTCATCTTTGTCTATTTCACAGGCCTCTGTCACTTGAGTGTAAGAATGTATTGAAAAGGGATAGCTACTCTTTCATACACTCTCAATTATTTTTCTTGTAGAACCGACTACAACTTTCAGATTAATATGTCCCCTGAAATTGCCTTGAACAGAGTCTCGCCATCACTTTCTCCCTTGATTTCCAATGTGGTGAGAAATGGAAAAGTAGGATTAGATGCAACTAACTGTTTAAGGATTACAGATCTGAAATCTGGGTAAGCTTTCTCATTTAAATAATGTCCATGTGTTGATTTTTCCATGTCAGTAAGCACCTTTAATGTATTTCATTTTTCCGAAATGAAGTGATTGAAGAATTCTTTGACAACCCTTTGGAAAGCTTCAGCTATTGGTCAGCATAGAAAATAACTATGTTGTACAATAGCATTCTTTTGCATGAGTGGCTCTTGATTGATTTCAGTCTGTTTTATCGCCATAATATGGTGGCTTTTTTTAACCTTGTCTAGGTATATTACTTTAATTAAAATGTGTTTGACTGTTTTTACTCTGACTGAAGCAACTGGAGTAGAACTCTCTGAAACATTTCGTTTAAAGAGGCCACTGTTGAATGCTAGTTAATTACTGTACAAGTAATCTTCCAATGTTGAATATGTTCATTTACCTTTAATTGCTGTCAGAGATGTTCAGCCCTAGACAGAGAACTAGAATTGATTTGTTCAGATCTCTGTACATGGACTGATGTCAGCTGAGTAGGTCCTATTTCATATGCTGCACATTGAAGTGATATGACTTGATATATCACTCTCAACTCACCTATTAACACAGTTTTTAATTTGTCTTCTTGTGTGTCTCATCACTTATTGGCTTCATCATGTATTTAGATTGCTTATCAGCATACATGCTTCCCTGAAAAGCATATAAGCATAGTTGATTAAAAGCTAATAAGTTAAACAAGCATTCATATTACTGCTTTGGCTTGTAGCTAGATTCACTAAGGACTCAGCCTTTTCCTGGCCACATACAAAGGGTTGTAAGAATGAGTCTCAAACCTGAGTCTTGTTCTGGGGTGTTTTCAGTCCCGTTAAGGTACAGTCTTGCTGTACTACAGTTTTATTTGAATTGTGTAGGAATTCAGAATACAGGAATTGAAAGTAAAATTCTACAATCTTGCCTTAAGGGCATCATCAAGAATTATAGACTATGTTGGACAGAGAACAGTTTGAGGGGTGATTGCTATAATAGCATATATCAATTATGTGAAGTAATGCCACCAAGATTTGTGCATTCTCAGAGGTTGGCCAAGCCAAAAACTGTAGTCTTTTGGTACCATCAAGTACAGGGACCAAAGGGTCCCCAATCCCTTTGCCTTCAGAAAATGACATCCAACCTCCACTCATTTCCCCTGCCAATATTTGCTAGGAAACAACTTGATGTAAAAAGTGCACATTGTTGACAACCGCTTCTTGACATAGCAAATGCCTTTTGACTACAGCGGCTGATGTTTTCCCCCTGGTCCTTATGGGAAAGGACAGGCAGTATGGCTGCCCAAAGAACATGGGACCCTGTAAGGTAGAAGCATCGCAAGTTCACCTACTCTGCTTTTTCTGTTCTGAAGTAAAAAAGTCCGGTGGGAGCAGTTCCTTATTTGGCAATGCATCACTAAGACTTTTGGGCACCTTCACTGTATAACTGCCAAAAAATTCCAAGACTTTCTCCCAACTTTGGAGGTGGGGAGCTGGTGAGGATTGCTGCGTAAGTGCCCAGCTGCCCATCATAGTGAGGGGGAAGTCTTGCTGCTTCTCATACTCATTGAAGCAGGTTAGTGTGAGGTGGCAGGTACGGCAAGCATATTGTATTGTTGAAATCTGATTCTTCATCATGATAGAATTGCATCCTGGGCTTTTTTAGGATTTGTCATACAGTTGGGGAGACATTGGTTAAAATCTGCCATTGATGTGCATTTAATGTATTTTGGAACCCTCCTTAGATCCCGTGCTTCCATTTTTCTCCTCCCTAGACTTTGGGTACAGTGCAGCATACACTTACCTGCTGTAAAACTCCATAAAATTTAATTCTGAATAATTGCTAAATAGCCTTGTTGTTTATATCTAACAAATTATACAGCTTGAAAAAGTAATATTCATCTTTGCTTTGCCTAATTTCTCTAAAATTGAGAGAGTTTTATTTTTCCTGTCATGAAGTGTTAAGGGGAGGTTTTACCTGTTAAATTGCTGCTTCTCTGGCAGCTATGGAAGTCATACAAGCCATGTGAGAGGAACAGCAGGAAAGCATAATTTGGGTTTAACATTCAGTAAATTGGCATTTTGCAGGATAGCTTGTTTGGTCCCAAATTGGATAGGTGTGCAGAAGGGGTGTACATGGAGCAGTGCATGGTTTACATGCAAAAGGTCCTGAGCAAAGTCTCCGACATTTCTTGATGTCCTTCTCCTGGCGAAGATTCTGAAGAGATGCTGCTAGTAGAGCTATAGGGATTAAAGATCTGACTTGGGATACATCGATTTCTCGTGTTCCTTGGTGTTCCTCTTCTGCCTGGCCAGAATGCTAACAACAAACATAGGATGGTAGCTCTAACTAGGTACACCTCCTGGATGACCAATGAGCCATCAGTTTAACTTGTCAATGTGTTAGCCTCAGCTGCATGTCTGCAGAGGTACTAGTAGCAAATTTCCGAGGCTGCCACTGCTGTCAAGCACAACTGCCATGACTAGCTTCTCTGCCAATTTCTTCATTAATGGGTACAGTCTGACAGCTGACATTTCTGAGCTACAGAGAATAATGGAGCACAGCTCACACAACATAATAGGCACATTCTTAACTTCGGCATTTGCTCACATTATTATAACATGGGGTAGGTCTTATTTTTGCAGGGAAACTATCCTGCAGCTTTTAAAATTTAATATTTTATCCTGCTTTCTATTTAAGAATATCTAAGGTGGCTAACAAGACCCATAAACAAATCAATAAATGGTCAAACAACAAATCCATAAAATTAGTAAAAAATAAAACAGCAGCAGTAAGATCAAAAATAAGCAAAGTTGTCCATTCCCCAGGCTTAATGGATATTTAAATAACAGCATCTTGACTAGGTATTCAAAAATTAGCAAAGAGGGTGACCAGGCAGTGAATTCCAGTTCCTATGTGTTGCTGCAGAAAAGGCACTTTAATGGGTACTCTGTATTATAGTGGGACAAAGAGCAAGACCTTTCAAATGGAATCCCTGCAGGCAGAGGAGATGCTTCACTTATAGATTGAAAGTTAGAAACCAACACATTGATTTGGGCTTGAAACTGAATTTGGAGCCTGTGAATATTACTGGTGTTTTACGATTTGAAAGACAAGCTATGCTCCAGAACATCAGCTGTTCTTTATCAATTGAACTTTTCAATTTTATTAATCTACCAGATAACAAATATTCTCTGTGTGGATTGCAAACACCTTTCAGAAAAATATATAACCTCTTGTTCTCCCTGCAGAGGAGGGCAGGATGCACTCCAACAGAGTGAAGCTCAGGGAACCAAGGTTCAATTTAGATGCCAGGAAGTACTTCCTGACAGTTAGGACCCTGAGGGTATGGAATGGGCTTTGATAGGAGATGGAGGAGGTGGTTGAGGCCCCATCGCTGAGGGTGTTCACGGATAGGCTAGACATGCGCATGGTGGGCATGTCATGAGCGGAGCCAGCTGGTGCCGGGGGTCACACTAGATGGCCTGGGAGGCCCCTTCTGACTTGATCTGTTTCTATGTTGTGTGTTGTAGTAGTGTAATCTAACCTTGACCAAGGTGTTTGTCAATTTTCTGTCTTTTCAAGGAAAAAGATGGACCAAAAATACCAGCTAAACCAGGGCAAGTTATTCTGTCCATGGCTGTTACATGGGCCGCAGAAGCATGCCCAAGCAGCCAACTTGATCTTTCAGATAGAGGGCAACCTTACCTGAAACAGGGCCAAAACTTGGTTAACCCTAGAGCAGCTGATCTCCTTATTGGCATTACTTCTGCTGTTATTTAGCATAACGGCTGGGGTGCAATCACGTCCAAATATTAGTTTTGACATACTAACTAATGTTCATTTTAGAAAATGATTTTTTTGCCATAAATGTTTTGATGTGTATTAAAATTATGGAGACCTCAAGAAAGTTAGTGTTTCCACTCCAAACACCAATGGAAAGTTTTATTTTTGGGAAAACTACTGTTGTAGTATGTCCATATTATGACACACAGTATTGTAAAGTTGTGGATGTATTTCCTGTTAACTTTTAAGTTGTTGGTAGAGGGAAAGCAAGCAAGAGGCAGCTTTTGTCCTCCCGGCACTCTGCAGGATATGCTTCAGTATGTTTCAAGGAAAGAGTAGATCAGCATGGTATCGTGGTTAAAGTGCTGGATTGGACTGTGAAGACCCCAGTTCTAGTCTCACTCATCCATAAAAGTTCATTTAGTGACTTTAGGTCTGTCAGTAACTCTCAGCCTAATCTACCTCACATTGTTGTTTTGAAGGTAGAATGAGGAGTAATGTAAGCCCCTTTGGGTTCATTGTAATAGGAAGAAAGCAGGATGTAAATATAATGATAATCATACTATGTTTTGCTTAGAGAATACCAGCTTTGAAATCTCCTGTATAGCTTTATCAAAAAGAAGTAATTTGGAAAAATGCAACTGCAAATGTTGTCAGTTTTCATTTCTAGACCATTTAAATAAATAAAATTTAACAGCCAAGAAAAATACTTAGCATTTTTAAAGGATGAAATTATTATATCATTTACTTTTTTATAATGGAAGATATATTATTCTCCTACATTTATCATGTAATAAGCTAAAAGAAAAGATTATATTTTCAAAATCAAATATTTGGTATTCCATATTGTTTACAAAAAATAATGGAGCCATATGGCTAGTTATAACTTCAGACTGAGTTCTTTGAAAAAATAATCTGCTGCTGAAATCTTATGGAAATAATGTACAGTAAAGTCGATTATCATTGAAGACTGTCCCTATGGCATTGCAATTGTTACAGTGCATAATGAATCTCCTTTCTTGAGATGAAAACAATGAAAGATGGTGCAAAAGGTGAATTTATTCATGGCTTTGAATGGACAGTAGAAAAAAACTGAATCTAGTTTATGGTCGACTGTAAGGAAATGTATTCACAGGCCGTTGGTTGGTCCTTGGTATGTCTAGTGCTGTAACTATTGCATGCAGTGGGTGGATAGTAACTGTGTTATTTGGATTCTGAATGCACAGCCAAATCTTCCCTCCCTAACTACATCTTGGGGATATATGATAACTGTGTAGCACAAAGCAAAGAGATTGGGCATGGCCAAAGGCATCTGTGGCAGCACATAAGTTATTTTTAAATCTTCCCGATCAGCAGCTCTTCATAAAGATTCCTCAGACTGCTTCCTTTAAAAAGTTAAAGTTGTTATCCAGTATATGCAGAGAAACAGGAAAAATCTTGATTTTTATTATACAAGATATTAAAGACATGTGTATTTATTCATTTAAACTACAGGAAAAATAAAATAAGGTCAACAGCAACTCATAAGGCTTAATCATATAAAAAGTAGTTGGATAAAGGAATGAGAAAGGTGTAGGATGGCTTGTCGAGGCAGCTGAATTCTGCACATGCTTACTTGGAAGTAATCCCTCCTTGGTTAATTTTGAAGTAAAGGTGCCTTAGATAAGCTAAAAGTGAACAGCTGGAGAGCAATGTACTAGACTCGAGATGCATAAAATTTTCCTGTATCATGCTGATGTGTGCCTCAGGAGGAAGGACTTTCCATATAATATAAACAGAAAACTGGCAGTAATTGCATTTTTGCTTAGAGTAGTTTCTGGCCAACCACATTTATTGGTAAAATTGTACATCCCCAACACATCCCATATCTTGTCATGCCACTGACCCTGTTTTGTTATACCAGTGGCATCTGGCAGCAAATTGTGGTTAATCAAGCACTGTTCCTGAGCTGCTTCCTGTTCCTGTGATGTTCCGACTTGGATAATTAGGATTGTGATTGGGTTAAACAACCCCATGTTAACCCATGGCTTCTTAATGGGTTAAGCTTAATGCAATATTTGAGGGTTAATAACAACAACAACAAAAGCCCTCTGAACACAGCATGTGTTCTCAGAACATGTACTTTATTTAACCCTCAATTAATTTCTTGATACTGTTGCTAAGGTCACTGAACTCTTGAAGGGATTCCAGGTTCTTACTATGCAAGGTTTGGCGATGGAATACTGATATTTTAGTCAGTCCTTATGAACTTAGTGTGACCCTTTTAAAGTTTTTGTGAGCTGATCAAATGGACATTTTCTCCAGTGCATGTGAACCTTTTAAAAAGTTTCCCTTTTGGCAGTTTCTGTCAAACATGCAAACAGCAAAAGCAATTTGGGTGTTAACAGGGAAAGCTGCTGGTAGGAAAAACTAACTCTGGATCATTCCGTCTTGTTGTATTTGCACACAACATGCTGTGTTAACATTTTTTCCTAAAGCCACAGCCCCAACTTTTCTGATTCATGTTGGTGCTGAGCTCTTTGGAAGTAGTTGCTAGAAGATCACATATGCCATAGTACATGTATACTGAAGGACACCTCAGAACATGCTGGAAAGCATGAATAACTAGCTGTTTCAAAACCCTTTAATTTTTTTAATAGGCACAAATGAAATTACTCCTGCTCACCACAGTTTTTTATTTCTAGGGTACCTAACATGTACTAAGCACTTTATAATAAATACCATATATGCCAGTGCATAAGGTAGCTCACATATAAGATTAGGTAGATATTTTGGGCTATTTTTCTGGTGTTTGTCATATGTTGGGCTTATAAGATGATCCCCAAATTTTGCTTCACTATTTTAAGTTTCAAGGGACTCTTATACACTGGTATATATGGGTATTTGTCAGCCAGAAGCTTCTGGACTCTAGAAGCTTGACTTCATGTTGCTGTATAGTCATGTACTTCTCTGATTTGATGTGATACAAGCATATAAGCTCAGTTCTTTATCAACTGCACTGGTTGCTATCCAGGCCTGCTTCAAGGTGCTCACATTGATGCATAAAGCCCTAAATAGCTTAGGACCTGGATATCTCAAGGAACCCCTCCCTCTGTATACACCTACCCAGACCCTAAGATCATCAGCAGAGGTACTTCTCCAGGAGCCACCTTTAAAGGAAGTAAGGAAGATGGCTGTGAGGGGAAGACTCATTTTGTAGTGATGCCCCATTCATGGAACTAGTTTCTCAGGGAGGTGTGCCTGGCACTGACAATTTATACTGTTTTGCACCAGGTCACAACCTATTTATTCTCCTGTTATTTTAATTGTTGAATAGATGTTGTGACTTTATACTGGTTTTGTCATGATGATTGATTGCTGTGGATTATTATCATCTATTATCATTTTATTTACTTGTCTAATTGTTGCTTATTCTCCCTGTGTTTTTGTAATTATTATGGGTATATCATTGTTAATATGTGGAATGCTGTTTTGAATAATTGTAAACTGTTTTGAGAGTGAGGGCTGAGAATGGTCTATTAAAAAATTGAATAGAATAAATAAGGGGGTGGGCTTGCTGGGGTCAATTGGGGAGGACAGCCTGCACCAGTGTTGTGGATGAGCACAGGGGGGTGGGTGCCAAGGATGGGACTCTTGCGGGCAGCACTGTGTCTCTCCACAGACTGCCCAGAATGGCACGCTGCACCCCCAGCAAGGGTGGGGCAGGCACCAGACTTTGGACTAGGCCTGTGGCCGCTCACAAAGAATGAGCTCCCCTGGTGCCAGTAAGAAGTTTTGTAATGATTATTTTTTAAAAGCTTGTAAATGCAATTTATTTATTTATTTATTTATTAAAACATTTCTATGCCGCCCCTTGCCGAAGCCTCGGGGCGGCTCACAACACAAAATACAATACAATAAAATACAAAAATAACAATATAAAATTAACAATATAAAATAAATAACAATATAAAAGAAGTCGCCCTGGCCAGATAAATTAGCAAATATTGTTAACAATTAAAATGACGCTTAAATAAAAAGGTCTTCGCCTGGCGCCGAAAAACAAATAACGACGGCGCCAGGCGGACCTCTCTGGGGAGCACATTCCATAACTTAGGCGCCACCACTGAGAAAGCCCTCCTCCGAGTAACCATCCTCCTAATTTCCTTCACGGAGGGTTCCCGGAGAAGGGCCTCTCCCGCAGATCTCAAGGGGCGGCCTGGCATATATGGATGTAATTGTCTTTATTAACTATCCCTTTTTAAAACGATGAATATAATATTCATAATTTTTTAAAACCTGGCATATAAAATGATTCCCGATTTTTGCCTTGCTATTTCTGGCTTCAAGGATTGTCTTATATGCTGACATATAAGGTAATAATTGACACCAAATCTCTGCCTTTAGGCTTGCATGCAAGATTGCTTGGCTGTTTAATTTAGAAGACAAAAAAGTAGTTCTTCACTTTCTGTTACCTTCTGTGGTGCCTTCCAAATGCAGTCAGTGTCATCCCATTTCATGAATGCATTGTTGATTATTGTCAGAATCTGATACTGTGTGTACTGCTATTCATAAATGGCATCTTTTCACTTTAGCTGCACATCCCTGACTCTTGGGCCCAGCTGCGATCGCTTTAAGTTGCATATTCCATATGCCGGAGAAACATTGAAATGTAAGTGTCCAAACCTTAACATTATCTGAGGCCTTTTTCTGGATGTCTTAAGTTCTAAGGCTAGGCTGGCTGTGACAGAGGACAGGGGCCTTTCTTTTTTATTGTTGAATAGCAGAATACCCTCATCAGGGAAAGCTGCCCGATAGTAAGCAAAGACCTTTTTTTGTCCTGGGGTCTTTTTATGCTCCTAAGTTTTTGTTATTGTGGCTCCTGATCACTCTCTTCTTTTAGTAATGTTTTTATTGTTTATATGCCAATTGTTCAAAAGATATAATGTTCCCTGCAAGTTGTAAAACTGAAGGGTGGGGGTAGCAAATGCTTTAACTAAACAAGACAGCAATGCATTTCAGCCTTGTGGCTTTCCTGGTAACACTAAGCCAGGGGTCCTCAAACTAAGGCCCGCAGGCCAGATCCAGCCCGCCATCCCCATTTAACTGGCCCACCCCACAGGTCTGGCACTCACTGGGCACGCAGCTTGCTCACGAGGAGGTCGTTTTGGATTAGCTCAGAGAGAATGATCTCCTTCCAAGCAAGCCGGTGCCTCGCAACCCAGTGCCTTACCCCACGAGCCACTCCGTCCCCGCCTCGCATGCGCGCTCTGCCCCCTCACTGGCCCGCTGGCACCTGTCAACTGGCCCCCATTAGAAAAAGTTTGAGGACCTCTGCCCTAAGCTATAAGAAACTGCATACAGGTGAGTGCATATTCCATGCAGAAGTGTGCTCAGAGGTGGACTGCTGGAAGAGGCAGATGCAGACCTCTGTGCTTGGTTCAGAAACACAGCAGGCTGCTTCAGGAGTGGCAGAGCTCTGTGCCAGCCTGCAAAAAAGTTAGCCATTTTTAAAGCAGATTAGTAATGTCTCTGGAATTTTTTTTACAAAGCCAGTGTGTTTGCCACATATCTATTCACATCTTAAAGTAAACATTATGTTGTGCTTCTTTGCCAATTGATTACTCAGTGCTGTTCAGGTGTATTAAATTATTATAATCATTATGTACTGTATTTTTCGCTCTATAAGACGTGCCTGACCATAAGACGCACCTAGTTTTTAGAGGAGGAAAACAAGAAAAAAAATATTCTGAATCAAATGGGCACATAATCAGAGGCACATTCCCCATCACTTCCCCATGGGCTGCACATATGACAGACGGGCTGCACACACATATTCGCTCTATAAGACGCACAGACATTTCCCCTTACTTTTGAGGGGGGGAAAAGTGCGTCTTATAGAGCAAAAAATACGGTACTTCTGGCTTAATAAATTCTCATGTACTTTATTTTTGTGGATTACCCCTTCTGTATATCTCACTCCTTTACTATCAAGTAACACTTTCTGGCACTTCGTAGCTGGCTGTATGGACAGCCCTCAAAAGCCACTGCCTGGACTAAGAAAAACCTAGCTTGAGCAGAGGGGCTTGAATAGCACTTCCATGGAGACCATGAAAATTGGATGAGGGAAGGAAGTTATTCTAAGACCCATGCTGCCCTTTCATGTGTCCCTTTTAAAGTGTGAGGACTAACCTCATTTACAACTGAAATGATCTAATTTTCTGTTGGTAAAGGGTGAGGGTAGTTGATCTTACAATTATCTTCCTGCTTCTGCTTGTATTTCATCTCACAAGAACAGCAGCTGAGGGTTTTAAAAAATCTGCTGGATTTCCTGCCTGCACAGGAAACACAGTAATTGGTTTTACAGGATGTGTACCCAATGCCTCTATTCTTTAAAGTCCTGGAAGGGGAAGGAATTGGGTTTGGGGAATAGGCCTTCTTAGCCGCAGGCTAAAGGGAAGCAAAAGCAGCAGGCTCAGTTGCTTCCTTCAGCCTAACTGGCAAGCCCAAGCAACTGAAGGCTTGCACCTGCATGTTATGCTCTGCCATGTCACCCTCAGTCTCTGGTGGCTGGTGGTGTGTGGGTGTGAGAGAAATCCATGTAATTGCTGCATACTTCACTTTGCCCCTTTTCCTCCCAGGAGCATCCTTGCCCTCTCTCTGGTCACTTTGAGGCCCATTTTAGTACAGGAATTTGTTATCTCTTTCTGGATGCATTTTGTGGGCAATTTTCTTTTGATGGGTGAAGCTTTTCTTACAACAGCATAACCAATTGCACGCCTGACCTTCTGTATAAAAAGTGCATTGGCAAATTGCAAAGACTGCATTATTCATCCATGCAGACAGACATCTCTGTTATGCTCACAATAAATTAAGAAAGCTTTTTGAAGTCAGTGGGAGAAAGCAAGTGGGAAGTGGTCAGTGAATCACCCCCTAAGTTGCAATCCTAACCTATTAAATCAGTGGTGGAAACATCTAATTCAGTGCACTTAAGATGGCTTCTTACATGATGTGGTAGAATTTGGTTTTGTGGGTTACCACTTCTATAGTTCATTCAGTTGCCTATATGTGATTTGCTATATTACATGGAGATCTTTGAATCTGTTAACTGTGCAAGTCAGATGTTCTTATGGAAGAAGAATGGCACCAGGAAACAAAAATATGCTAACATAGCTTTTATGTCTTCTTGAACTACATGTGTTAGCAATAATTTTATGTTAAAAATGGCCAAATGTGCTAATAATTTCTGCAAGAAGGTAATATTCAGAAGTAATGCCTATGCTGAGCTCTGATAGTAGCCGGAGAATGGATTCTGGCATATCTGCAGTGGTTTATCTACAAGAGACATGCCACTCATTTAGTCCAAACCCCATCTCCAAGATAGGATATGAATATGCTTATGGTAAACTAGTGGACCATGCATGAAGCAGTCCTTTATCAAAGAGGTTTAATAAAATTTGTTCAAATACTGATCAAATACCTCAAATAAATTGATCCAAGCCTTCTATTAATAGGCAGGGCAATCCTTGATCATTTATGACAGCTGTTGGTGACCTCTTTGGGTTGTACCTATGCATGGTGGTCTCATTTAAAAATCTAACATTTACTTCCCAAAGAAGGCTTCCCTACTCTCAAGGTTATCTTTTGGCGCATCTTTCTGTTCTTAGGCATTCTAGATTGTAGATTCCTGTTATTGTGAGATTTTTTGAAAATGTGTTGATTTTATTGTTTTTAACATGTATTATTGTGTAAGTTGCCTGAGAACTCTTCGCTACAGGACAGCATTTAGCATGATAATAAATAATTACATGATTTAATTTATAGGATTGAATTTTTGACTTGTCAGCAAAAGGAAATTAAATAGCAGCAGTCAGCATGCATTTTATATTGAGTAAAAGCTACTTGTTCTTAAAATGAACCATTTTATAAGAGTCCCTTGTTGAACATTGAGCTTACCCACCCTGCATCCTTGAGTTAGAGCTTTTTGCTAACTGCATGATATTTTTATTCTTGGGTGACTGAGAGCCACTTGTCCCTCAAAGAGTTGGATGTCAACCACTGGGGAGTACTACATGATATCCAAAAAGTTGCTTTATGAACAGTAATTGATACTCTTAATAACTGTTGTCACAATAGATTTTGCATTGTTTGAAACAAGTAAGTAGGATTGCTCTGCAGTAGCAGCAAATCTATATTTTATTTATTATTTATTTCATTTCGGTAGTGCCCAATAGTTGAAGCTCTCTGGGCAATGAGCAACAATAATAAATACAAGATAATAAAATGCAATATAGAGTAAAATCATAAAATTGGTAAAATATTAAATAAAAATGTATTTTATTAAAATAAAACTGCATTTAAAAAACATTTTTACAATTAAACAGCTGAATCGGACCATATTGCTAAGTCTGCAGAAAAACAGCTGTCAGTATCCCACCACCTTCCCCATGTGCTATTTGGAGTTGAGAAAAGTCTCAGCCAAGAGGATGGGCTTAACTTAGTGCTGAAAAGATAATAAAATTCATGCCAGGCAGGCCTTGGTGGGGATATTGTTCTGTAAATTGGGGGCTACCACAGGAAAGGCCATCCTCATTATTACCACCAGCCAAAACTCCCTTGGTGGTGGCATTCTGAGTCGGGCCTCTGATAATGCGTGCAGTGGGTGTGTGGTATTTTCTGACTGGAAAAGGCCACATGCTCTTATTTAGAACAAATGCAATCTAACTTTGAGGGAGAAAATATCTTCTGTAGCTTTAGAGAAGGAGAAACATTGTTAGAATTACAGTCTTAGTATTGTACTTCTAGCAACTTAAAACACTTACATCTTAATTTAAGGTTTCTTATATGTAAGAGGTCAGATTGTATCTTCAGAAAACATGGATTTTTAAAGGTCTCAAACTGAAGGACCATTTAAAAGACCATTTGAAAAGTTCTTTAAATACATTGTATGAAAACAAAAGGGTACAAAAGAGTAGACCTGCTTAACATAGAACCTTGTCCAAACAAGTTTTTCAAGAACTGCAGAAATCTCATGTATAAATGAATGTATAAAATGTGAAATCCATATGAACTAGGAGAGAGGTTAACACATTAGCATTGAGTCCAGCTATTTAAACAGACTTAACTGCAGTATGCTTAACTGTGCTTATTGGGGGTGGGGCGGGGGGGGAGAATTTTAAGGCCCTCTTTGCAGAGAGCAACTGTGTTAAGAACAGGATTTCTGCAAAGAGAAGCAGTAGTCTTAGTAAATAATTTATCCTGTGGTTTACAATACTCAATTCTATATAATGCTGTAACAGTTATTATGGGCACCAGGACAAACACACTGCATATGCCTGCAAATTCTGCAAGAGGGAAATGTAACCAGAAGGCCCTCTATACTGCATGTCCCCTAAAACAGCTTTTCAGTGTTTATCTTTTTAAAAGCTAGGGTTCTGTTTCTAATTAATTTTGGTATAGACCAATCATTAGGGAATTAGTTGGGAGCCAAATAAATCTGGGTTCCTCAGGAGGAAAACTCACTACTATAAAAAGAAAATGAAAAGCCAGGAGTAACAAGAGTTGCCTGCCACTTACATGATGACTAAAAAGTTTAATAATTGGTGAAGTTTTGTATTAAAATTACAGTGTATCTCTTGAATCTAAGATTACTGGTTGTGTGAAATTGAGATTAGTGCTTCATTCTTTATTAAATGTTTTCATGGTTATTGCGTTGTGAAAAGGATGAAAGATTGAGGTGGACGTATTTTAATTTTCCATTTATGGTATATAAACTTATGAGAAGCATACTTTAGGGCATGAATCTTTTCTGTTTGTGAAATCCTTTGCATGTGTGATTTAGAATAAACAAACTTGAATTCAGAGGGAGTCACTTTTGAGGAAACACAGAAAGATGGAGAAATATGCTCTCCTTTCCTTCCTTCTCCAACCAACCAGTTTTATTAAGTCTCTGCAACATATTCCAATTTCTAATTTTCAAGAATTTTACTGCATTGCTAAATGTATGTGAGTCACAAGATGGCACAGCATTTTGACTGGCGAGGCAGAACTTAACATGTCAAATATTACAATGCAAGTCATATAAAGAATGCAAGAAGAATTTACATAATTTTATTTTGTAGAACATTGCTTTAAGTTCAGTGAAAAGAAGAAATTAGTGCAATATCTTGCATGGGAATAAATATGAATAGCACTGGCACCATATTAGTACAGTGGATATTTGGACTTGGACTGACCAGGGTTCAATTCCCTGTTCATCGCTTGAATTGTCTAGATGACCTTTAATTAGTTGCTTTCTAACCTAACACGGGCTAATCCTTCTGTTGGTTGCTATGAGTTTTTTTGGATTAAGAATGGATGCAAATACACTGAATAAAATATCAAAACAATTAGAAAGCATGAGCTGGGATTTGGCCCATGATAATCTATGTCATGCCCTTATAATATGGTGCAAACACTGAACATATTCCTCAGTGTTGTGCATATAATAATTTCCTTATATTCATCATGCTTGCTTACAAATCCATGATACTGAAAGGAGCAAGAAGCCTTTTGAGTGAAAGCCACACAAAATAAAAATATCATATGTGGTAAGCTGGAGAGAATAAAAGATTGAAAGCTATAAATGTAATGCAGCTTTGAATAAGTAGCAAATAAAAAGGGCTAATATTTTCAGTGTTATAAATTATAGCATAAAACAGATTTGTGGCTTGGGGAAATGTCTGTTAATGGGCGAAAGACATTCATAATGGCCACAAGTGGAAACTTTTACTGTTAAGACGGCAGCATACAGGAACACCAAACATCCTGTTGCTAGATGTGTGGCTCTTATCTTTCATGAGCAGAATAATTCTATAAAGAAAGGCCACAGAATGTCATAACGAAAAAAATGAATTGTCCATAATTTTGTCTTCTGAGGATGGTGCTGAACATAAGCTGAGTGCCTACTTCCTTTGTGGCTTGTGCTACATCCTTTTAGCAAGAATTGAGTTTTATTTTAATGTTAAAAAATAGTTTTTTGCAGATCTCTAGTCACAAACAGCTGCCATGCTATAAATCCAGGTAGTTTATTCTGATGCTTGAATTGGCTATTGCATAGTGCATGGGTCCTCAAACTATGGCCCACAGGCCGAATCCGGCCCGCCATGCCCATTTATCTAGCCCGACATAGAGGTTTTGGACTCGCTGCACACACACGCGTGTGCACGGCAAGGCGCCAGCTTGCTCATAAGGAGATTGTTTTGGACTTGCTTGGAGAAAATGATCTCTGTGCATGTGTACCCCTGCCTGAACACACGTGCGCACGTGCCCCCCGGCCCATGCCCCCTGCCCACACCACCCTGGCGGTCTGTGCCCATCACCAGCACCTTTCAACTGGCCCCCTGTTCAAAAAGTTTAAGGACCCCCGGCATAGTGTGTCTGTTTCTACGTAATATTTGTAAATCCCCTTTTCACCCAGATGAAGGGATTGGGAAAACCTAATTTGCAATTTTTAGAATTGATTTGTAGCAACACAGTACTTTAATTGATTTGTAGGTGATTACTAGTTAATGTTTTTCCAAAGCGGTTTAAAACTTTGTTGGCGTTCAGGTGTGCACAAAAACTGTCAAATTGCCACTTCTGTGCCACATAGATTTGTAGTTTACTTTTGTTGTTTATCTTCTTGAAGCCCATCAAATATTAATTTTACTAAAACAACTAAGAGTCTCGGGGAATCTTGAAGATTAACAAATGTATTTTGGCATTAGCTTTTGTGGGCACTGCTCAAGAAGAAGCGTGTCTGTGAAAGCTTATGCCAGAATAAATTTGTTAGACTTAAAGGTGGCACATGACGATTGGTTTTTGCTGCAGCAAACTACCAGGGCTACCACTGTGTTATTTTTGCCAAATATGTATCAACTATCCTTACAAGCCTATGAAGTAAGAAAGTGAAGCCTAAGGTTAAGGGTGATTTAGTTTAATGTATAATTTGCTTGTGGCCCACTTTTCTTTTAAAGCAACTTGTGATAGAAAATACAGTAGCAACAATAAACAATTAAATGTCTTACTCTTACACAGTACCCATGGCTACTGAAACAAGAAGGGGAAATTTAAAAATAAATAAAACCAAAATGGCATTGAGAACTTCTATGTAGTTCCAAAATGGTCAACATTACCTGCCTCCTAGACCAACTGCTGTTCCCAAATGGTCTCCAAAGACAGTCTTGTAGCAGTCTTATAATTAGGTGTGTATATCATATTAAATTACATCACAGGATCATATGCATTTTATTTTAGAGCCATATTTTAATGGGCTAAATTGAATTGAATTGAGATTTGGGAGACATTTTGCAAAGGCGCAGAGTATTTATATAAAAGTTCATTGGAAAGAAAGCCTAGTTTTGTCTAATACGAGCAAACCACTGCAAGTTTCAGATTCATGTGTTTCTCCTCATGTCCTGTGGCATAGCTATAAGGATCCATTTGGAAGTTTTTGCTTCCATTTTACATTGGCCAGAATGTGTTGTATCAACCCAAAAAGCTTGGGCAATAATTCATTGAAACAAGCCAACACGATTTGAGGCAAGGCTGTACAGCTTCTTTTAGGCAGAGCTGAATTTTATTTCTAAAAAGCTTTTGGATACAGTGCTTCAGTGTTGGATGGGGCCAAAATTGCCAGCATATTTTAGTTTAAAGTTCCTATTGCCAGAAATGAAGCCTAAAGAGACATTTTTCCCAATTGCTTTTAGAACAGGGAAAATAGTGCACAGAAGGAAGGAAGTAACCCAGCAATTCATGGTTAGAAGAAAAGGGTTCAGCTAGGGGAAAGATTTGTGGCTGTCTGGATGACCAGATTTGTCCACCTGATTTAGGGTTCACATAAAAGGCTAAACTGGGTAATGTGAAATAGAAGCAGAAGCTTTTGGACTAATTATGGTCATGCTGGAGGAGGAGGGTTGAGAGAACACATCAGCTCAAGTCCCTCTGATAGTTCTTGTCCAGATACAGTGGGCATATATTGACATTATTTCCTATAGTGACAGTTAAGGAACTTTCCATACTTTTTTGCTTGTTTTAGGGGATATAATTTTTAATGCACACTATCCAGAATTACCACCGGACTTCATCTTTGGAGAAGATGCTGAATTCCTGCCTGATCCTTCGGCCTTACATGTAAGTACATTGATGTTTCTGTGCACTATTCACAGGCATGACCTAGAGCATGGGTCCTCAAACTAAGACCCGCGAGCCAGATCTGGCCCGCCATGTCCATTTAACTGGCCCGCCCCAGAGGTTTTGCACTTGCTGTGCATGCGCCCGGCAGCGGCTTGCTCACAAGGAGCTTGTTTTGGACTCGCTCAGAGAAAACAATCTCCTTGCGAGCAAGCCAGCAAGCCGGCACTTCGCCCCACACCCCACCGTCCCCGCCTTGTATGTGCGCGCATGCACGTGCGCCCCACCCCCTCACCAGCCCACGCCCCCCTGCTGGCACTGCCTTGGCAGCCCGCGCCCACTGCTAGCCCCCTGTTGAAAAAGTTTGAGGACCCCTGGCCTAGAGCCTCTGGAATGACGTGCATTGACCCATATGTGTGGACTTTTTAGAAAGTGTGCAAAGCTTGCCTATTCAACAGGTATTGTGGTGGTGGGACTGAGCTGATTATTTATTCTAATTGCTAATCCATACTCTGTTGAATTTTAATGTAGTGAATATTTTAACTCTAAATTAATAGTAATATGATTGGATGGGTTTTGTTCTTACTAACCATCTTGACTTTTTTCTTCCAGAAGTAGGTTAAAAGACACTAAACAAAAAATAAAAGATAGGCTGTAAAAAAATGCAAACCTTGCAAAAATTTTCATCTTTGAGTGTATATAGGTTATTTTACACTCTAATGTAAATATATATATCATTGCAATATCTGGAGATATTCCTACAAGGATGGAGATAATCCTCCCCATCCCAAGATTAAATGTTGTGCAATACCTTTTTTGGAATTAATTGTAATGTTGCTGTACCTTGTGTCTTCTCCTAACACAAGAGTGTGGACATGAGATACAGCCACTGAGATAGCAGGAAGTGAAAGATTCTGTGTTACTCCTTGAATTTCTGGCTTTCTTTTTTAAATGAAATTCTCTCATGAAAACAAAGGTAGAAAGTAAATTGCTCTGCTAAAATGAAGTCTCCTGTAGCTTTTCTGTACTCTGGTTAATGAATGAAATCTCTGGCATTAATGAGAAGCTTAAGACATTTTAATTTTTCCAATAAAAGTAAATTTTATTGTAAATGCTGTTCAATAACTTTAAGCATATCTTAGGCTAGGTCCTTTTCTGTTTTGATCCCCTTCCCTCTGGTGTATCCTTTAGATTTAGATAAATCTTTTGCAGTGGGCCTAATTCTGGCTTGCTCGTTGTGTTAAAGAGCCATTATACAGACTTTAGCAGGATTTATTTGGTATCCTGTATTAATACCTTGAAGCCTGGAAACTAACTGAGAGTATACTCTGGTCTCCATGTTAAATATTCATGCCCAAAGTTGGACCATGGAAGAGAGGATTGAGGAGTCAGGTATCTTAGATAATGCTTTGTTAATTACTAGCATGATAGTATTGTTGCTGAAACCCTCAGGCAAAGCTTAAACTACATTGTGCAAAGAAAAAAATAAACAATCCCTGCAGGAGGAGCTGTTTTGTTGCACCATGCGTTTTTGGCAGGAAGCAGGAATACTATGACCCATAACAATATATATGAGATACTGCTGTGTAGGAGAAAGGAGGACACAATATTATGCTTAGGAAAGGGCCATTTTACAGCTCTTCTGTCATAGTTTTAGTTCAATTATGTTCAGGGAGCCTCATTGTTAGAAATAGTCTGCCCTGCTCTTGTTGTTATGATGATCTAATTCCTGATGAATGGGCAATATGACCTCTTTTTGTGTTTAAGTTATGAAAATACAAAGCAGAGTATACTACTTTTCTTTAGAAGTCTTCTTTATTCCTTCAGTATTTTCCTAAATCATGGTTTTGCAAGCACTGTTTGACTGCCAATGGCTTTGCATCAAGTTATGTATCCATCTCTATAAGCCCTTGGTGGTCTAGTTAAATTTAAGCTTAGACAGGTAGTTTGCTAAGCCTGATTTCCCCCTTCCTTAACTCCTGTTGTAGCAAAACTATTCAAATTTCATTGCAAATATTGCATTTATTTTGGTAAAACTGATGTACTTTAAAAAATTGATATTGCCAAGCCATTATGTGGCATTATCAGACAGCACCATCCAACTCCGGGACTGCTCAGTTAAATGCAAGGGAAATTGCCTAGGGCAGCCTTCCCTCACCTCATGTTCTCTATATGTGTTTGACTGTGACTCCAGCATGGTCCCAATCAACCACTGTTAGCTGGGAGTTATAATCAAAGACCAAGAAATCCTGTATCTGTTGAACTGAGTTTCACACTGTAAGAAAGATGGGATATATAAGTTAGGGAAGTTTCTATTGGTACTTACGTTGAAGGACATGATTGTACCTTCTGGTATGGTTGGAACATAGCAGGACACACATTTGACAGGAACCAGGAGCAGTGAGAGACAACAGCTGTATAAAGCCCCACTTTGTGAGGGACTAACAACTGGCATTTCTGGCAGCCGTTTTCAGGGCAGAGTTCTTGCCTCTGAGGCCTGCTGTGGCCAAAGATTCAAATGCAGGGTAGCAGTTAGAACATGAGGACTAAAAGCAACTTGTTTGTACGTTTGACCCTCCCTAGCAACGTTGTTCTATTCTACTGCATCTTCCCTTCTATAATAAAATGTGACCGTGTGTGTTGGTCCATCAAAATCATTGGTTCAAGGCCATGAAACCTAGCCATTTCAAAGTTAGTATGTGTACTAACTGTACGCATGTTGGAATGTGCGCCTTGGAGGTTTTTTTGACTACCTGTCTATGCTTGCTCTTTTGCAATGGTATAGTGTCCCTCAAAGGAATGGAGGGAGCAGCTCTGTACTGCAAGGGTATAAGGGTGACAAGGGCCATGTCCTGGTGGTGCTAGTGCTTATGACTTCAGGCAGGCACAGGCGTATAACTTGTTCAAAGGCTTGATTGCAGTGAACCAAGGAATTTTCCAACCTATGCAAAACTGGGTCTTTGATACTTTTGAATATAATATAAACTGTCTGGAAATCTTAGATTGAGCATAAATACTCCAAATAAATACGGTGAACACTTTGAGACTTCATAATGTATTAGAGCACTGGGCAGTGTCTAACCAAGTGAATTCCAGTGCACTAAGGGTTGTGCCATAATATTCCTGTTGTTGTTTGAACTGCTATAAGATTCCCTTCTGGGATATAATGGAGTTGCTTCCATATATCAAGGTTGCTGACTTCTTAGTAAATGGACCATAATAAATGTAAATAGTTAGCACAAATGGAAATGTAAACTGTTCCTTTTCATGTCAATATTCTATGGCTATGACTACTAGCCTAGATATCTGGAGACATGATGGACAATTCCATGAAACTATGCCACGGCAATAAAAAAAAGCAAGGTTTGTGTCAGAAAATATTAGGGAAAGAGTTGAAAATAAAATGAGTAGTACAATTTTTATATAAATTCTAGTGTAGCTGTATTTGCAGTACTGTGTACAATTCTGATCATATCCTCTCAAAATGCTGTCCTAAACTGCAGTCATATCTGGTCTTTCCCAATCTAGTGCCTTTTGGATGCATTGGACTACAATTTCTATAATTTTTACATTTGACAGTCTTAAAGGTATACCTATGATAGGATCAAGACCTGTTCTATAAACAGAAGGGATACTTTAATTTGCAGAAATGAATTGGATCCAGCAGAGGCTTCCACAGTCCTAACTTGATGCTCCTACAACTGGAAGTGAGGCAGTTTTCAGCAGTGTATCCTTGTTTCTGCAGCCCCAGTTCTATTATCTTCACCATTCCAGATGGTCCTCCAACCTTCTGGTTCAGTTGTTGGGGACATGGGGGAGTTGGCGGGAGAAAGGATTAGCAAAAATTGTCTCTCCCTTTCTGCTAGTTCAGAGAATTCTGATCTGCTCAATTTTAAATTTAACTAAAGTATCTTAAATATACACCTAAAAATAAATGTTGTGACCAGACCCTCATACTTTCTGGGAGGTGGATACAGTGGAAATAACCGAAATGCCTGCAGTTTAAGCACTTTATTAATTCTTCCATTCTCTGTGTATTTACCAGATTATCAAATTTAATTTTTTGCTTTTCAAGTGTGGAGTTGGTATTAACAGACTGATTAGCACAGAGTAAGTACTGTAGGCTCCTGAAAGAGTTGGCAACAAAAGTGAGATGGTCACTATAAGAAATCCATACTGGATTCAAGATGGGAATAGTGACAGCAAAATTGTCTTGTATAATAGTTTTTTATTTATCTAGGCAAGGTCATATCTAGCCATTCCAGTCTAATCAAAACTGCAAATACCCAGTGATTTATAATGGTAGTGTACTTAAGTAGGCATTTGCCAACCCTGGAGGAATAATTCCATGAAAAGCTTAATATATAGATTTAAGAACTAGAATTTCATAACTTTTTAAAAAGGCTGCTGTTCTTGAACAGATTAATAGCTGAACACCATCTTGATTGGTCCACCGATTCCATATTGCCCCTTTTATACATGTAGCAACTCTGGCTAAGAGTTGTCACTACCAATTTTGACTACTGTTGCCACCTAGAAATCTTACTGCAACATCTTTATGGCTTTGTAATGTCATATTGGCACTCTGTATCTGTAAAGTCTTCAATGAAGCAGTATCCTGGGCTTTAAGCCAGAGACAAGGTCCCATTTGGCTGCTGAAATCCTGGCTGACTAGGTCGATTTCATGCTGCTGAAATCACTTAAAAGCTGGCTTCCCTGGTTAAGTTCCCTTTTGCTGAAATCACAGATGCTGGCTTCATAAATCAGTTTTGGTCATAGCTGTTGCATTAATACCATCTGGGTCTGTACCACCCAAAGCTAGCCCACCCTCTCCTTGCACCTTGCTGTTGTCAGGAGAAGCACTCACTTGTCTAGGTTAGAACAAACTGTGGAATCCTCCTGGCTAACTCAGAGGGATGAAGTCATGGAACATTCTGTAGCTCCTCCATCTTTTTTTGCCCAGTGTCATCTAAATGTGGTCATTTAGATTCCGTGCCTCA